CTTCCTGCAGTGCCTGGGGGCGGTGCTAACATGGCGATGGTGGGACAGGATATAGAGCCTGCTTGAAACTGATTCCACCTGGCCATGGGATTGGAGGGCGCTGCTCTGCGAAGCATGGACCTCCCCCTCAGACAGCGACTTCGAGAACAACATGTTTAAAATAGAAAGGAGAGCCATTATTTGGACACTAAAGAGAAAATGATGCATACTTTCCATGGAAGGGGTTCGAGTAGAAGGGGAGGAAGTGACGGACATGATTAGACAATTTATCAATAAAAAACTCCTTACGCGGTGGCAAAAGGTTAAAAGCCAATTGGACAGGCTCCACGCAAAAAAAGACATCACACAAGCAATCAACCAATTCTCAAGGGACTGGCTGGGAAGCGAACGAGGGGGCTGTATCGCACACATCCAATGGGAGGGAAGACAAACGCAGGGGCAAACGCAGGGGCAGGAACGGGAACAGTTCAAAAGGGACTACAACATAGGCTTCAAGGAATGGACCAAAGTGGACCAACGAGTCCCGTTGCGACCACCCTCAAACTTCCCCAACCCCTGTCCGCCTCATCAACTGGCAATGGTGGACATGCAATGGTACGGAGCAGAGTAAGCGGGTCAGCGGATCGATGCGACAGAACAACGATGGCACAATGAGGGTTGGGTGCAAGAATGCGGGGGCAGAGGAGGGAGGAAAGAATCAGCTTTGAGCCACGGTGGGGAGGGAAGAATCAACTTTTAGCCATGGTGGCAATAGTAGAATCAGTCCTTTTCCTCATGGTTTCGAAATCCTGCTTTCTCGGCTGATCCTTCTGTAAGAAAAGACGTATTCAAAGGGACGTTGGACCCGGTTTCCAGCGACAAAAAGGACTGGGGCTCGAGGGGGGAAGGAGGAACTTGTGCGTAGCAATAGGTATCTGGCGCCGGCTCCAAGGTGAAGAGGTCCCCCCCTTCCTTGCCTCCTGCTCAGTCAATCCCCTGGAGGTCAGGGTAATCAATGCTGGCACTGCCTGGCAGGAATCAAATTCAATCTGTATATGGGACGCTGGGCCCGTTTCCCAGCAGGTGATGCTCCCCACCAATAGATGGAGCCTGGAGAAAGGGAGAAGAGGACAACAAACGAGGGGGGCCTGTGACAAACTCTGTTTCGTCGGAGTTTCACCGACTCATCGGTCAGGAGGCTGAACCCTATGCATATATATATTATATATCATTTTGACTATATATCGTCAATATATATCGTCACAAGCATATCAGAGCAACCATACATATCGCTCTTCGTTTCTAGTGTACGACTAGCGGGACTCGAACCCACAAGGCGCGAAGCGCCGCCACATCCTAAGTGTGTTTGATTTTCAAAACCCTTTAGCATGGAGACCGTTGGCCTGTGAACAACTTGCACGACTGGCACCGGAACTGGAAAGTCCTCGGGTTCCCCTCTGTGGACCCTTCATGCTGGCCACAGGCCAACGGTCCCCATGCTAAAGGGTTTTCCTCGGGTTCCCCTCTGTGGACCGGTCTCCATGCTAAAGGGTTTTCCTCGGGTTTCCCTCTGATAAAGGGTTTTCCTCGGGTTCCCCTCTGATAAAGGGTTTTCCTCGGGTTCCCCTCTGTGGATCCTTCATGCTGGCTGGACGACTGTTACTGGAAAGTCCCGCGGGAAACCCGAGGAAAACCCGACCTCCGGTATGACCTACCAAAGGATGACTTCTGGCCCAGGCTAATAAAGACATGGAGAAGGCTGCCCCTTCCGCAACGGCCACCGTCGGAGCGGTGGGAGGAGGTGGCCGGGCTACCCCGTTCCAGGAAGTCTCGAATCACCGGTTCTCATGGACAAATCTTTTGTAGCTCTGACTCCCCGGGGAGGGGCTGGGTAAAGAACGGAATCATGAGAGTCAGGGATCTGTGGGATGAGGGAAACAAAGAATTGAAGGGACCAGATCAGATGAAAGAGAAACTAAGATATTGCCACAACGTTGGATTGAACTTGGAAGTAATCAAGGAGGCCCTTCCCCTAGCATGGCGGATGATCCTGCGAAAGGGGTGTAAGTGCCAAGAAGGGGACTGGGTGGCCCGGGAGGGGGCCCCTGGATGGGTGGGACAAATCCACCTTTTGCGGCCAGATGATGTGCTGGTGGAATGGTATAAAATAGGAAGATGGGGAGAGCTGATGGGTAGCCGCAACCCTTTTGTATGGGTTCTGAAAGATCATCTTTACAGGATTCGAACACTGAAGGAGGGGGAGGAACGGCGAGCTTTCATGCCTGAGACCCCGCTGTCCGAACTCCCATTGGACCTGCTAGAGTGGCGATGGGACCCCCTGGAGAGGGCCAGAACCTGCACCAGGAGACCCTGAACCCTCTCCAGCCTCAGGGTGAAGAGCACCTGTAGGATGTTCAGAGTTCGTCGAAACTTGAGAGATGTGTTAATCAACAGGTGGCAGAAACACCTCAATGTGGATGAACAACTTCTTAAACTTATTCAGTGGTTTCAAGATTGCAAGTGCAGGCCGGCAAATCGCTCACCGTTGCCTCCCCTGGAACAACTGGCTAAGTGACCATACATAGTTGGAACAACAGGGCAGGGCCCTGCAATGGTGCAGATGTTGCTTGCAGAGATTTCCGACAAGAAGAAGGACAGAGACAATCGAACACATGTTTCTGCAGTGCCCAGCGGCTGTCCTGACGTGGAGATGGTGGGACAGGATATGGAGACAGATGATCCCAGGTCAGTCACGGCCATGGGACTGAGCAATCCTGCTAGGACATACCCAGCTCTACAGCAGGGGACCTTTGGGAAGGAGGACGGTCCTCTGGATTCTGTGGTGGCAACTTTGTGCGCTGGTCTTAGAAGGAAATCGGATGGAGGGAGAGGAAAGGAGGGAACATTTCAAAACCCACTTCCAATTGGAAATTACGCAGAGGTGGTTGGAGACTAAAAGGACTCTGGACTCCCTCCACAGATGCAAAGACGTATTCGACAGGATTACCCAGTTCGCCGAAGACTGTTTGGGGGGGGGTATACTGGTCAGGGAATAGGAGTGGGGGGGGGGCGGAGGGAGGGATGGGTGGGGAAGGTATACTGGTCAGGGAATAGGAGTGGGGAAAGCCAAGGGAGAGAGGTGGGTACACGAGCCGAAGTCCCCTGGGGCTGGACAGAGGTGGACCCCAGCATCCCGCTGTGGCCCATAGACAAAATTTCAGATCCTTTCCCTCCACACCCGCTGTCACTGGAAGAGAGGTTTCAGTGAGAGTGGTGCACTCTGGGGGCACGGTGTCCAGCACAGCAGGTTCTCAATGTTTGTTTTCAGAAGGGATGCTGAGCCCGGCTCAAGAAAAGAAGAAAAGAGAGAAGGCGGGGCATAGGACAGTTTTGGGGTCGGGCAAGGAGATGGTAGGAGGCCCTGCTGGTGCCCCCCAGTGGCTCCTACCGGTATCCAGACCAGACTGAGACCGAGAGGGGAATGGGCGGCCTGTTGCTTTTTTGGGATGTTGGACCCGGTTTCCAGCTCGGCGGTTTTCTTTTCTCTGCATCGTTCCATACTCATGTTTTTTCCCTCAAATATATCTCATAAGGGACACTGAGCCCGGTTCTCAGCACACGCTGCTGCCCACTAATAGATCGGAGCTTGCATTTAAAAAAAAAAAAAAAAAAAAAAAAGACTGTGGTGGCACTCTACACATGTTGCCCCAAAAAGAGGCTGGTGCTTTTTTTTTTTTTTTTGAATATTTTTCTTTAAAGTAAAGGTCCGACAGCCTTGAGCTATGATCGTTGAACTTACCAGCCCCAGGGGCCTCGATCGACTAGCCAAGTGTAAAACGGTGTGTGGCATGGGAAATGTGTTTAAAAAATAGGAAAAAACGGTTTTCCTGCATTTTATTTTCCCCCGTTGATAAGGAGCCCGCAAGAATGACTGACATCCGTCATTATTACACCGTATCCGTTTCATTCCAATACATGTGACCCCGCTAAACTAAGCTAAGCATGGATTCACCCCGACATTGCGGGCATGTGCGCCCATGCGTTTCTGGTAGGGAAATGAATACAAGTCCGCCAAGAGGTACTCATGTCTGTTTCTGCACCTAGACACTTTTGTAGGCAACGTACGACCATGTTTTGGGAATGTAGACGTGTATTAGGGTTTGTGCATCCGATTGAAAGGAATGCACTGACAACACATTTCTCGCCCTTATTTGTGGGCACTGCACAAAAGCGATGCCGTTATTACTTCCATTTGTCTTTTTTTTTTCAGACTTTCCAAGCGAAAATTCGTTGGCGTGAAGCTTGGATATCACCCCATGGGTCAAAAGTTGTTGTTATTGAAGCTTCGCGCCAACGGAAAGTGGCCAACAAAAACACCAAAAAAAAAAAAAAAAAAAACTTCCTATTGGCCGTCAGCCAGGAAAAACCGCTCGCCCGACTTGTAAACATCTTCACAGTTGATGTGGAGGGCAATCGGCGGCTGTTTTGCGTCACCCCGGGCCGCACGGTGATCGAACGCCCAGCCTCCAAGCGTAACTCTTGGCTAGTGGGTCGAGGCCCCATGTAATTCAGAATTGTAGATTTTCCTTCTGTTTTTGTTTTCCCCTTCCTCTTTTCTTTCTATTTTGGGAAAATTTGTCTGGCACCCCTGTAATTTGCGTTATTTTGTGTCGCGACCCTCCGACGGCCGATTTACCCTGTCGCGCCCCTGGGCCAAAAAATATTTTCGGCAGGCCCTTGTCGGTAGTGACCGCAACTTTCCAGGCCGCCCTCCTTGGACTGAAGGTCGGGCCCTGTGCCATATGCCCTCATGACAGGCAGCCATCTTTCTGCAATGTCCCCGGCAGCCATGAGGCACCATTATTCGCATTTCCATAGAGCCCTGTGCCATATCGTCCGCTTCCCTGCAAGTGTGTGTGTGTGTGTGTGTGTGTGTGTGTGTGTGTGWGAGAGAGAGAGAGAGAGAGAGAGAGAGAGAGAGAGAGAGAGAGAGAGAGAGAGAGAGGGCTGGAACATTGTACAGTCCACCAACCAGCCATAGCCGTGCATCGCCATCAGAACACCCCTCTCCTCCTTCATCATCTTCTTCCATCGATTGTAACCTTCAGATGAGACGAGATAGGGACTCGCAAGAGCCAACGCCTGCCCCCTGATTCTCGTCCCAGACTTCTTCTTTCCTGCATTCATTGAGGTTGCCGTTGCCCTCTTCGTTGACTCAGACTGTCCACCACTAACATCCTTTGGTTTGTCGGAAGAGGGAGCCGCCCCTGCATCTGGGAAAGCAGTAGCAGATGTGGCAGTTGTGGAAGACTTGGCAGCAGATGCTGTGACATCAGCTGATGAGGCAGCAGATGATGACATGGCAGCAAATGGCTTGGTAGCAAATGGACTGGCAGCAGATGACGTGGCATAAGATGACTTAGCAGAAGATGATGTGGCATCAGATGACATAGCAGCAAATGGCTTGGCAGCAAATCGCTTGGCAGCAAATGGTACCGGTAGGGGCATCTCGAAAAATAGCCCGCTGGCTTTTAACGGCCATCCGGTAGGGGCATCCCGCAAATTAGGGACCGGTACCGGTAGGGGCGTGACGAAAAGATTTGAGGCCCAAAAGACACCGGGGTCTTATGGAAAATTTGAACCCTGCTCAGAGGGGCGCTACAGGGTAAATCGGTTATCAAAGGGGCGCGACGCGAAGTAACACAAATTACAGGGGCACCAGACAAATTTTCCCTTCTTTTTTTTTAAAAAGGTCCATGTTGTAGTTGTCTTCCTTCGGTGGAGTTTTGAGCTTAGGTTTACATTGGTAGCTGGTGCCAGGGAATTCAGAATTGTAGATTTTCCTTTTCGTTTCTCTTTTTTCCCTTTCTCTTTTTTTTCTTTTTTTTTAAAAAAGGTCCATGTAACAGTTGTAGTTGTCTGCCTTACGTGGAGTTTTGAGCTTAGGTTTACATTGGTAGCTAGTGCGTTTGTGTGTTTTGTTTTGTTTTTTTCGACGAAACCAAAAAGGCTTATCGCCTGGGTTGGGCTGTCTGGGGTCATTATACCACCCGCCCCGTGTGACATGGCCCGGTATCATCATTTCATCTCATCCCCACCTCTGGGCCGCGGCTTCGCCACGGCCGGTCTGACTTGTTTTAATAAAATAAAATCCTCGCTATGGGAAACCTTTTGTTTCATGAGGGAGGCTGAAAAGATAACAACTGAGATGGACCATGGTACATCAACGCGGCATCTTTTTTTTCTTTTTTTTTTTTGCATCAACGCGGCATCTTTTTTTTTTTTTTTTTTTTTTACATCAAGGCGGCATCACGGACCTGCAAGTCAGAATTGCGGGACAGCCGCGTCACAGACCCGCAAGTCAGAATTGCGGGACAACAAGAACGGGTAGATAGCAATGTACGGAATCCTGTAATAGGGATTTTCGGATTTTGTCAAGACGGACATATTTTATTCTTTGAACGAAATTGAGTCTACATACAGCCAGGGGGTATGGCACTTTCAAAACGCCGTACCTGCTGGATGTCTCTGGACACCAGCTGACTCCAGATACATAGAGGGAGTGGGGCATTTTCGCAACGCCATACCCAAAGTTCCGTAAAAAACGCCGTACCCCCTGGATGTCTGTGGACTCTGGAGAAGTCCAGATACATTGACGGGGTTGGGCGTTTTTACAACGCCTTGCCCAACATTTCATCAAATTTGGCCAGAGTTTTTTTTTTTCTTTCTCTTTTTTTCTTCTTCATCTTCTTTCTATATTCTTCTCTCAACTTCTGTTTTGCTTTTCACTACCTACTCCTAAGGCTATCTAGGGGGAACCCCTGCAAGCCTAGTTTCCTCTCTCTTCTTTTTTTTTT